AGATTTCCGAAGAACATTTCTCGTGGAAGTATCGATAGAAAAGTGAAAGGTCGCCGACCTTTCTACGGTGTTCCAATGATGTCAAAGAGTGAGTGAGTGTGGCGTCACCCACCAGGCGAATGGCTCTTCTCTGGATGGAATCTAAGAGCATCAGCGTATGTTTTGGTGCTGAACCCCATATGTGGGAACAGTATTCTAGAACAGGCCGTATCTGCGCTTTGTAGATCATGAGAAGCTGTTGAGGTGTAAAGTAGCTTTTCGCACGGAACAAGAATCCGAGTTTTTGTGAAGCAGCTTTTGCGATGGATCTGACATGATTATCCCATGAAAGAGTGTTGCTGATGGAAATACCGAGCATAGATATGGTGGGCTTGGTGGGGATGGTGGAGCCAGACATTATAATATCGGGCATACTGAGTTCCGCCTTTCTAGAGAAAATGCAGGCTTGAGTTTTGGTGGCGTTGAATTCAACAGGTTGTTCGTTCCCCAGGCTGTGATTTCAGCAAGATCTTCATTGACAGCATTGACCTGCCTGCGCCGTGAGTTCTTAGTTTCCTGGGAAGAAATGGGAATTCTGGAAGAGAACGCAGTATGGAGGGTACTATCATCTGCAAAGCTGTGGATGGGGCAAGTTGTTACTCCCAACAGATCATTGATATGAAGCAGACATAATGTTGGTGCCAAAATTGATCCTTGTGGAACGCCGGAATTGATGCCAATGGTATCAGACGATACACCGTCCACCACCACGTGAAGCGATCTGCCTGAAAGAAAACTCGATAAGAGATGGCATAGCTGAGGTGGTAAGCCGTATGATGGTAGTTTGTGGAGGAGTCCTTCGTGCCAAACACGGTCGAATGCTTTCGATATGTCCAACGCGACAGCTAGAGATTCCCCGTGTTTTTCTATTGAAGATTGCCATAAATGGGTGACGTAGGCAAGTAGATCTCCAGTAGATCTTCGGTGGCGAAAGCCGTATTGTCTATCATTGACGATTCCTGAGCTCTCCAGATATTTGATAAGCTCAATATTGATGGCTTTCTCCATCACTTTGGAGATCACTGATAACAGGGCAATGGGCCTGTAGTTGTTGGGCAGGTTCTTGTTCCCGACCTGTACGAGATGGTAAACAACTTGCAGAGAATCGGTGTTAATTCTGGTGCACATTTTTTGAGGATAATGGGTGGAATTCCATCAGGACCGTTAGCCTTATTCGTTTTGAGACCAAGCAAAATTCGTCTGCTAGTGCGTTGACGGAAGACGATTTCGGGCATTCGACTCTCAACGGGTGGAATGTCTGGCGGCAGTTTTCCTTGGGAATCTAAAGTAGAGTTTGCTGCGAACATCTCTGCAAAAATATTCGCTTTCTCCTGCGATGTTGTTGCTAATGTGCCGTCGGATTTGGACAGTGGTGGAAATGAACTATTAGTGAAATTTCTTCCGACCGCTTTAGCAAGGGACCAAAACGAACGGGAGCCATTGGGGCAATCTATGAGTTTCGATCTTATCTTGGCATTGTATGTTTCTTTCGAAGCATCTATTTGTTTTGGCTGCAGTTATTCCTGGCATCAACGTATTCTGCTCTAGTCGCGAGGTTAGGGTTTTTGCGCCAGCGATGGTAGGCTGTTTGTTTCAAGGCAACAGTTCTAGAACAGTTTTTGTTGAACCAGGGTTTCGAAGGTGATGATCTTTTCGAAAAATGAGGTATGTATGTGTCCATTCCGAGCATGATGATCTCGGATATTTCCGCAGCACACTGTGAAGGGTCCTCAGAGTCAAAGCATACTCTATGCCAAAGAAACTCGGAGAAAAACATGCGGAGACCGTCCCAATCTCCTGAATTGTAATGCCATATAAGACGTGGGGGTGCCGGAGCAGTTGATGGAATGGAAAATGGGCAGGTTGTGGAGATGAGTGTGTGGTCAGAATTGCCAAGTGGAGCTCGTACATCTATGGTGTAGGGTGCTGAATTATTAGTGAGGAATAAGTCAAGTATGTTAGCTGAATGGTTATTGGCATCGGTAATTCGTGTGGGTTCTTTGATAAGCTGCTCTAAGCCGTGAGTGATGGCGAAAGCTTCGGCTTGTCGCCCAGCTTCATCCGTTCTGTTAGAGTGTACGAGCCAAGCAGTGTTGTGTACATTGAAATCGCCCATGATGATGATTTCTGCCGCTGGATGGTTTTGTTGAATTTGGTCAAGCTTCAGAGGCAAGAATTCGAAGAGCTCTTCATAGGATGGATCATTTGGTGATAAGTAGAGACAACAAAGGTATTTGGTCTGTTTCTGACTATCGAGTTTGAACCACATGACATCAAACTTATTTGGTTCCAAAGTTTTTTCTCGTTGACATGAGAGATTCGTTTTAGAGTAGAGGCAGAGACCTCCCTTGAATCTGAAACGTGTGTGGAGTTCGTACCCAGGACAGAGCAGATAGGTCGTATTGGTGGATGAATTGACCTGTGTCTCAGTAAGAGCTAATAAAATAATAGTAGAAGATCCGAACCTAAATCGACCTTCACCGAGCTGATAATAGAACGAAATATATTTTATCATGAATTTAGTATATTAGAAAACATATTAAAAATGGGTTCGCTAAAAAAATCCTGGGCAGACTATTTTTGATTATTTTTCGAAAAATGATTTTTAATTAAATATGCAACATCAGGATAATAAAAAAAATTTGGTCCTGACTGAAAGTATAAAACGTATAGAATGTGCAGCCGTTGGGTTGTCTACTATTTACCTGGGCGAACTACTGGGTTGTCAGGTAAACACAGGTATATCGATGCCAGTTACTTTCACTGGATTGGATAATTAAAAAAAAATTATATCATCATAAGCGCTGTTTAATTGCGAACACGTTGATATAGGGTTGTCTGCGAAAATTCCGGTCCTCTATTAGGGGTTTGCGAATTTTAAAGATTTTAATTTCAACGCGCGTGGAAGTGTGTGACAGAGAGATCCGAGGTAAGTATACTGTGTAATAATAAAGGACCCAACATCGCAGTCACTTGTGATGGGACCCTGAATAGTAGAAAGTGCGCATGCTCGGTGTGTAAACTATGGAGGGTAGACGAGAGGGTAGAGGTACCTCTACTACCCTTCTTATAGTGAACAGTGCGTGTTATTTTGGAGCAACTGATATTTCAGTAGCAAAAAAAAATAATTAATTAATTACATAATAATTAAATATATTTAATATAATACTAATATGTAACAACAATATAATATCAATATATTGCGTTATAACCATAATAATATATCTATAATCTATAATAGACAATAAAAATATCAATTACTTACTTTGAATTTTTTTTGCTCTTTCTGGAAATAGAAACAAAGTGGACCGGAAGGATAGTAGAGGTACCTCTACCCTCCATAGTTTACACACCGAGCATGCGCACTTTCTACTATTCAGGGTCCCATCACAAGCGACTGCGATGGGTCCTTCATTATTACACAGTATACTTACCTCGGATCTCTCTGTCACACACTTCCACGCGCGTTGAAATTAAAATCTTTAAAATTCGCAAACCCCTAATAGGACCGGAATTTTCGCAGACAACCCTATATCAACGTGTTCGCAATTAAACAGCGCTTATGATGATATAAATTTTTTTTAATTATCCAATCCAGTGAAAGTAACTGGCATCGATATACCTGTGTTACCTGACAACCCAGTAGTTCGCCCAGGTAAATAGTAGACAACCCAACGGCTGCACATTCTATACGTTTTATACTTTCAGTCAGGACAAAATTTTTTTATTATCCTGATGTTGCAACATTTAATTAAAAATCATTTTTCGAAAAATAATCAAAAATAGTCTGCCCAGGATTGTTTTAGCGAACCCATTTTTAATATGTTTTCTAATATACTAAATTCATGATAAAATATATTTCGTTCTATTATCAGCTCGGTGAAGGTCGATTTAGGTTCGGATCTTAGACTATAATAAATTCAATACTTAAAAAATTATGCTAATTTGTCACAGCATATCATAAGATTTGATAGAATCGCCCTATTTATCTCAGATCTCAGTCAGGTCAAGATAAAGAGATTATTCTAATAACGAATTTCTGACTCGATGATCAATAATTATTGACAGTGACAACATCGAGGACAACATGATGATTTCAATGAAAATTTCACACCAGTCATTTTCAACCAATCATGCAAGACAATTGAGTAATGAATAAAAAAACGATTTTTCATGGAAATATTAATACCCTGTATCTCGAAAACGAAGCAAGTTAGGACACATGTTCATATGAACTTTATTTCCGAAAATATCACAAGGAATTACCCCTTGAATTTTTTCGGTGTTATTCAGATATCTTCGAAACTGGTAATAGCAGAATGCGATTTTACCAAATATACTGCACGCTAGCACAAACCACGCCCACCATAATACGTCATATCTCCAAACATTACCGATATACTCGGAGTCAGCACATCGCACTAAATATACTGTGCTCCAACGCAAGAATACCTACACTTTTTATGATTTTGACACGAATTCGACTGAAGCTCTCTCGTTGTCAATCTCTTGTACGCAGTAAATTCATATACCCAAATGGTCTACTGGTTAGCGCTTTCGACTTTCAGTCTGAAGGTCCATGGTTCGAATCGCTGTGAACTTGAACTTTTTTTTGCAACTTTTTTTTTCACCAATATTTTTTTACTTCATTCTGGTTTTCCTTTTTCATAAATTATTTGAAGTCAAATAGGTTAGTGCGGTTAGGATAAACAGTCTCATTTTATTCAATTTTGTTGAAGAACTCAACTTTTGAAATATATAATCCCAATGAAACACCCTGTATAATGATGAAGCCTTAATTTCGAGTGACAATGGAAAATGAAAAAACTCCACCGCCCCGTGGAGGAGGAGCAAAATATTTGTGAATGGGATAAGAAATTAGCCCACTTTGCCAGCTACTATAGGGGAGGAGGGGCTACTTTATAGACACAATATATATAATATGTTTATTTCAATTTCAGGCCTATTCACATTGGAGTGTTACGCGATGATTTGAAAACCGTGAAGAAATGCTGGTTAATTCTGAAAATTCTTCAACAGTCTGTGGATTTACCCAATAACAGTGACTTTGTAAGTGATAATTTTTATTGTCATATTCCGCGTTTGCAACATTTCAATATACATATTTTGCATGCAATACTTAATTTCAAATCCAGGATGGTATTTAAAGAAAACAAAGTTGATGATGGTAGCTCAAAGGCGAAATGCCGGTTTAAAAATCTGATGAAACCATCTTGTTGAACAGAAAAAGTAGGAATGAGAATGTTTATAATTCGTTTTGCTACATCTATTCAAACAAAGGCGGAAAAAAATGAAAACAAAATCGCGAATATTCGTTTTTTTTTCTAAAATCTTCGGAAGTATTCGGAATTTCTCAAATTTCAAAACGGCATTCCGTGAGCCATAAAATTGCGCAACTTTGTCTCTATTTAACCCTTCCTGTAGCTCTTACCGTTTCCGAGATCCCCATGGATCTATTCGAATTTCACTTACCCGGTATAGTGCAAGTTTTTCCAATAGCTAGCTTTGAGAGAGAGAAAATATTTCTTTCCCATCTGCCCTTGTCTTCAGTATTCCAACGTAAAATGATGAAAATTTGATGTTGGCAATAGTGAAAATGAGAAGAAATGAGGAAGATGATCATATTAACCCGAGTATTAACCTCAATTTGCGAGAATCACGAAGTGTGTGGCCTCTGGTGACTAACTTTACAAGTCTTGTGAGTATGAATAACAATGCCAACAAATATGGCGACCATTGTTTTGAGTGAATTTTGATAGTTTTTTTTTGAGATTTACTTTGTGCCTGAGTGCTGGTAATTGCTTTTATTTTCTCCAAACATGTAGCAAGTTCACAAAATAGTTGAAACGAAATCCTGGAAGTTTTGTTCAACCACCAAAACTCTTTAAAAAACTTCAGAACCATCAGTATAAATATTCTGAAATCATCACATGCAACAAAAAGGACAAATACTTATACAGAAAGTGGGTACCTAGTACCTACATGATAATAATTGAGATTGTCCTCATATAGTTAGCTATGTGGCGATTTTTCCCAAATAAATGAATTTGAAGGTCCCCAAAAAGAAATAGAATTGACAATAAAAAATCAAACTTTCATTAGTTAGTTACAAATAATAGTGAAATAATAGAGAACATTTAACAATCAATCGAAGTGATGTTATAGAAAATCATTCTGGACCTATTACAAATTACCTACCTCCTGTCCCTATCCTCCCTAGGAACGCACGATGTTCTTCGAACATTATAGGGATTTCCTTTCGTGCGCTCCAAGCGATAAAAAAAACTGATGATCATATCTCGGATGATATGAAACTGGGGACGATATATTATACTAAAGCACATGTGGAGCAGAAAACCAATTGCCTAAAATGGAAGAAGTGGACATAGAAATTGGACAAGGAGGAAAACTTCTACTAGTTTATGTGAATAAAAATGGTGAAGGATATTATTCCCAAATATCAAATGATAATGACACAATAATGTGTCCAAAATATGTATGAGTGTTTTGTTGTGGCCCCACTTTGATAAAGATTCACAAACTGATAAGTGCATGACTGTGTGATCAAACCTCGGATCAAACTATAATCTTATTGTACCCACTCCATTATCTCTGTACCTTGAACAAGCCTGTACAAAACCTTCACTGGATGTGAGTTAAATACTTCTGATTCGCCGACTGGTTGCCAAAAAATCTTCTTTTGCGATCCAATACCTCGCATCTGCACAGTATATTATGTGATACTGTTTCTGGTTCTTTTCCGCATAGTCTGCAGTTTAGGTTGCCATCATACATGCCCATTATGATGAGGTGCTCCTTCACTGGCGCATGGCCAGTCATGAGTCCCGTGCCAGTTTTTATGTGAACTCTGTTCAAGTTGAGCAGGTCCACAGTTCGTTTATGACTTGGTTCCTTAATGTATTGTTTCCCATGTATTTCTTGGGATGTTTTCCCAGAGTCCGTCCTGGATCTGGCTCGTTGTCCGACCCTCTTCTTGCAAGTTCGTCAGCTTTCTCATTGCCAGCGATCCCCTGATGTCCTGGCACCCTGATTATCTTGACCCAATTCCGGTCTGCCAAAGTTCTCAGTTCCCTCTTGCAATCCCATACCAGTTGATATGTCACTTCCTGGCTTTCTATTGCCGCTTGACTGTCTGATATAATGCGGATCTGCTCGTTTTCCACGGCTCTCCTGTTATTTTCTTCCGCACATTGAAGAATTGCATACACCTCTGAGTAGCTGAGGCTAGTCTCCGGATGGTTGGAGTATACTTCTGCCTTGAATAATATATATTTTCTAAATAACAATTTGATAAAATCATTATATAAATGTTGGTTGCAATGATTCGATCATGAAAATAACTTCAAGTCCTTAATTCCTGGGGATACTTGTTTATGTAAATCGATGATATTGTTCATTCTTAGCAGTCTCTCCACCCATATCTTCTTCTCCAACCCCTTCACTAGAATTCCATCTCCTTCATAACAGTGATATTTCTTGATGAATTCAATTATTTCTTCATGACTTTTAATTGCGCCATCTATTGGTTCGTGATTTTCGCGAATATAAGAAATGTTAGAATGGCCTTCTTCTCTATTTCTTCTCATTTTCAGTGTTGCCAACATAACATTTTCATTATTTTACTTCTCTGAACATTGATGGAACTAAGATATGGTGCGCGTATTCAGTCATTATTACGTATTGAAAATTTCAGAAAAATCACTCGACCGCCTACTAGGATTTCTCTACGTCACAAAGAGCGAGACGTTGATTCTACATTTTTCCGCTAGATGGTGATGCTGCTATTACTGCTCAATTGCTGCTGTGACGAGTGGAAATATAATGGCAAATGGCATTTTAGGTACGCGGAACATATGTAACAGTGGGATTATTCAACTCTGAATTCGAAAAATCTGCGACAATTTCAAAACTGACAGATGTCATAATTGTGCAATGTCGCCATCTATTAGAACATCGCCGGACCCATTGCTCTCGCTGTTCTCGAGAGGTTGAGTAAAATTTATGAAACAAAAGCGCATCAGTAATTACACCATATCTCTCTTCCATCATTTTCTGAACACTGAAGACAAGGGCAGATAGCTGAACTCTCTATTAGTAATGAATGATCCTCCGCCATTACAGACTCCGCTGCAGCTGGCCGTCACCAACATGGCGTCCTGCGACGTAATCGACTACCTGTTGAGTAAGGGCGCCAGCCTGGAGGCGATCGACTCAGAAGGCAACAACATATTGCACTTGGCAATCGAGTATCGCAGGACAGACGCCCTGGCCTCCCTATTGCGATTCGCCACAGAACGAGACTTCAACTTGGATCAACACAATCACGAAGGTATGTCAGGTGGATTCAATGTTTTGCCGATAAATCAACTCATCACTTGAAAGGGTGCATCATGTTTCATCATATGTAATACCACAAGTGATACTACCGGGTCTTCAACAATGATCAATGAACTCGATATAAACAACTGGAAGGGAGACGGCCGTTCTATCGAATAACACAAAGTGTGTCAGGGGCAGCTGCAACAAAGATAGCATGATTTACGGTAACCTGTCTCTTACCTACTCCTGTTGTTTAATGGTGGATTGGTGTTTACGTTTTTTTTTATCTAATAATTAAAGTACTTTAGATTTTTCCTCTCATCTAAACAGGCAAGAAAGTGAAGAAATAAGTTCACTGTCTTTGTTTATGTGAATATCTATTCATTTGGGTGTTTTGTTTTATAAAAAGGGCTGAATTTGTTGGTGTGAACACTGTGAACTGATTGTTGAGAAGGTTTTGATAAACAATGATGGTGATTTATTGTGTCGCCTTTGGATGCAAGAACGAGAAAGACAAAAGGAAATTGTCATTCCATGGGTAAGTTGATATTGTTCAGATTTTTGGAAAATATAGTTCTTGAAATGATCATCAGTTAGGTGTACAATGTACCCAGTGTGTCCCAGTCTCAGAATATGTTCAAAAACTATACCTTTATTATTTGTCGAAGTTAAATACTTCCATGACTTTTCCATAAACATACTAAATAATATAATTTGTTGCAGTTTTCCATTAAGACATTCTTGAACTCCATCCAAAACCAGCAAGCTTTGTGGAGAGCATCTCCTGCCAACTGACTATTTATTTAGACATACCAGGTACTGCTAGGTTATTGAAACCAGATGCTGTACCCAGTATATTTCCATTTCCTAAGCATTTGTTACCAAAAAATACTGATTCTTGAAGGAAAATAAGAAAACTCATAGGTACCTAGTTGATTAATAATGAAAAAATAAATATGTAGGATGCATCTGTGGAAGTTCATTATATTGGGTCCTAAGGAAGATGTTTCTCATATTATGGACTTTACCTATGACTTCCAGCTCCCAAGTTTCGGAGTTCATCAATAAAGAAACCCAAACTGTTCCATTGGAGACGGATATTGTATTGAGAATTGTATTTTTTTTTTCTAATAGGAATATGTTTGTAGGCAGTGACCTAATGGTAAAATAGGAACCTATGGAAATTATGCTCAAAATGGACCTTGGTAGTCAATACCATTCAAGAACCTCTTTTAAAATTTTTCCTATCGTTTTTCTTTTTCTTCTGATAGTGCTAAGACATTGTGCTTCGCTCACCCTGTACAATATATTGTGACATTTGAATGAAAATATATAATTTCAATTTTGTATTCATTTGACTTCCTAATCCTGTAAGAATTTAAATGAAATTTCATTTTTAAGTCAATAAAAAAATCAATAATAATTTTTTAATGATAATTGATTGCAACATTTTCCTTCTTCCTATATGAATATTTTTATTTCATCACGTTTACTCTTAAATAAAGGCAAAAAACGAGAAAATATTTCAAATAATGCGAGCGCTTCCCATTAGCGAACATAAGATAGAGAGAGATAGGTATCCGTAAACACTGCGGGTTGCCTGAACAATATTTTTGCCTCACTCGTCGTTCACAGAGGGTCCCTTCCAGTTGTTTATATTGAGTTCATAGACAATGATTGAACAACACGTGACCAAAATGTGTTTGCAACCAACACTGCACAGTTGGTAAATGAATAACTGGATAGTAACAGCTGCTATCAAAATAAAACATAGGCATATGGAATATTTGCATTTGGAAATGCATCATGAAATTGTTCTCGGCAGCTTTGAAGTGAATATGTCCACGTTCCATCAGGATTACGAGTACCACTTCTGAAATGTGCCATCAGTAAGAAGGCATCCATTTCACCAGAACAAAAAAACATGTTTAATCCCGAAAGGAAAAAAAGGACATGAACAATAAAAACAAGAGCATAATTATTGGTCTTACCTTTTCACAACAATGAATTGGAGATGTAGTTTTGATAAAATCTGTTTTTCGCAAAGTAATAATTGTGAGAACCATATAAACTATCAACAAACCCAGGGGAAAAGACAACAATGCGCTACTGGGTGCTAATGAGCTACAGCTGTGCAGTATAAATTTCAAAAACACATTATTGAAGAGAGATTCGCAATCCAACTTTCCTGTTTTTAATTTTTGTAAACAAGGCAAGCTATTGGCTGCTATGACAGTTGACAAGTCAACTGCCAATCAAATTGCGAAGGACGTGAAAAACAGAACGTAAACACTGGAAACTACATCCATGAATGATTCAAGGTGCATACATGCGGTATGTTCCGTGAATCAACTTTTGTGTTTGAAGTTTTTTCTATTTTCAAAGATGAACTCTGTAGAAGCTGTAGAGAGAGACAGAGAAACTATGTTTAATTGGGTTTTTCCGACCTAGTGCCATACACCGTTGATTCCAGGAGATTGAAAGCTCTCAAAATCCGTGATAAAAATGTGAAATGTGCGCAACTTTGCCATAATTTAACCGACCAGCCACCCTGTACAAATATTTAAAAAATGTTTTTACTCATGTTGCGTTATCAGTGAGGTGCTTAAAAGATTGAGTTCTTATCAATGAAAATACTCGAATTAATCTGTAGATATCTTTCGTCATGAACAAATCATAAATTTCTGAGAAAAACGACATATTTCTATGAATTTATTGTATACAAACTAAGGGGAACTACAGGTAATGAATGATATAGACGTAAATCATTATTGAATTACCTTGACAAATTTCCCAATCGAGATAAACAAGTCAATCATATTATATACATATAGTGTTATCCATGACACCATAGCATATGGGGAACAGTTTATTATTGGAGTATATTAATAATGATAATGATAATAATGAATGATTTTATTGGGTCAGCATAAAAGTACAAGTATTATTATACAGATATGTTCCTCAAACAGCAAAGTTCAATATCACTATTAAATTGGGGATCTATTTTGCACGTCTAATAACCTAGAAATGATTCTAACACATGTCCAGTGATCACTGGTATGGTAAATTGAAAAAAATGAATATACAGGGGCAAAAAGTGTGGTTAGACGTCAAGGTATCGAAAAAAGTTAATTGTAATTCTTTAGGATTCAATTTTATTTTCACCTACAGAATTTCTAGGATATTTTTTTCGAATATTTTTCGATCTCGTGAGAAATATCTAGTTTTTTCTCCTGTATAGGCTGACAGTGGTGACACATGTGTTTGGTGATGATAAGAGAACAGCCATAAGTGCTTTCAAGTTAAGAGGCTTATGGTTTTCAAGTTTATTTGTGAAGTGGGACGTTTGTTCACAATTATCAGTGAAACTTGATGACTATCAGAAAATTACGATATTTTTTAAGTGTTATATCATTTAAATAGTGGCTAACATATATTCGAAAAAAAATTCTATTTACAATGTTCTTTAAAAATTTATTGAAACTCCCTAACCAATTTAAAATTGAGTTCGAAGCACAGGTTCTGAGCAACTTTTCCAAAAGGAAATATAATCATCGATCGTTCCCTTCGTTTTGCGACTATTTCCAAGTTTGGCATCACAATGAATACATTATTTATTCATACTTTTGTTAATAACTCGTCCGAAAAAAAAACTAAAACAGTGGCAAACTTGAAGAGATGTTTCTATCTATGTCACGAATTTCTCTGAAAATTTGCCACCTCCGCCGATGACGACAACATATTTTTTATTTTAAATATCTCTAGGCTCTTATATGCATCTAATCTCCTAACATCATTAACTGATTTTAGGTTATTAATATGTGTATTATGATTGTGATTAAACATGTGTTCGGCTACACACGATTTCCTTGATGTTCTTTGAACCTTGTTCTTATGGGTCGCCTGGTTTGGCCTATACAGGCTGATTCACGGTGGAAGGCACATTAGACGTTCCTGGAGAACGTAACTTGGGATTATTCTGATAATTTGCTGCCTTAGATAATGAGCTGTGCTCTATCGACCTAAAATATTCTCAGCGCTGCGACGTTGCCGCTTATATTGAAAATTAGCAACAACTTTGATTTTTTGAAGGGTACACCCTGTATATTATTCCATTTTCAGATTCTCCCTGGAGAGTTGATTTCATTGACCTATAACACTTGGCGTCTAGCAGTGACAATTACAGGGCGTGAAAAATCGAGATTTTTCAACCTGAAGATTTTTTTGTGTCAAAAATATCCATAATTGGTCAAAACGGTTTCCATGTCCCTATCCCATTTTTTTATTGACTATCAATTGATATTTAATTGAAATAGGTACAAGGTGTTTCAGAATCAAGATATTCAACCACCCTGTATCTATTTCAAATAAATATCAATTGATAGTACATGAAAAGTTGAGATAGGGACGTAAACACCGTTTTAACGACTTATTATGAATAGTTTCGATTAGTTTCGACACAAGAAATTCTTGAAGTTGGAAAATATCGATTTTTCACCCCCTATATATTTGTTATCATTCCCGCCAGACCCCAAGTGTAATAGATCGATGAAATCATCTCTTTAGGAAGAATCTGAAAATGTAATAATATATAGGGTGTCCCATTCAAAAAATCAAAGATGTGACTACTTTTCAATATAAGTGGCAACTTCACAGTGTTGAGAATATTTCAGGTCGATTGAACACAAATAATTATCAATCAAATTTTCAGTATAATCCTACGTTGCTTCCTCCAGAAACGTATAATATGCCATCCACCGTGCATCGGATGTATATGATTTATCAGAATCATTACGACTTATTTCGTAAATTCCTGATTTTTTAAGTGTGTCCACGTTATCTTTCAGATTACCTAATGAATTGCCTAATTTTGCACCAGACTGATGAACGCTTTCAAAACCTAAGTCTTTGAAAACCTTATCAATTCCCTTCGTGTACTTGGGATTGAACGGGATTGGGATTTTTCTCGGATTGTATTTATCCGCTTGAAAAGTCGTAGAATTTCGAAGTGTCAACTTGAATTTATGTATATGGAAAGGTATTTTTAGTTTTTCTGTATCGCTAATAATAACGTAAAAAAATGAAATAGATTTTCCAAAAATTCACTTCTTTCGATACAACTGGAAAACGATAAACAATTTTGAAAATGTTCGAAAGCTGTTGGGATATACCACAGAATGCGCAACTTTTTGACCAATTAACCGAATCCGTATCTCCTTCCGCTTCACAGATCTCCATGCTGTGCAACATTATCTGGGTCACACTGTATTGCACTCTTTGTTTAAGGTTGGCGCATTTTTCACCCATTGTGATCCTAGGCGATAAGTGCAATGTAGATTTTTTTTGTAGGCCTGACCCCCTTAATGATAGCCTGCTTGAATGGCCAGAACGATTCTGCGAAATTGCTGTTGGATTTCAAAGCCGATGTTAACGCTAGAGATCACATTTCGGGCAGAACATCTCTATTCCATGCGGCCGAAAATCATGATGGTGAGTATCCCCCTATCCCTACTAATATTATCAATGTGAATGTAAGTTTGTTTGTCAGGCTTTCACGCCAAAATTACTCAACCGGTTATCATGAAATTTTGTATACACATTCTTAAGGAGGACGCGCACTGAATCGACTCGGATCGGTCGACTCGACTCGGCACGGTCGGCACGTTTTGCTATGCATGTAACCACCAGGTTTTGCTTTCCATCCTTCATTTTATAGGTTTTTCGGCAAATGCAGTCCAACTCATGGCTAACTATATACAAAATAGGTGCCAATTCGTGGAAACAACTGTCGGACAGTCTGGGAGGGAAAATGTGACTTGTGGTGTTCCCCAGGGATCTATACTAGGCCCATTGTTGTTCAGTATATACACTAATAACTTTTTAACGAGTATAAAGACTTGTAAATCTCACTTTTATGCTGATGACACACAGCTATATCACTCATTCTTTCCTGATGATTGGCTATTGGCGCAACAGGCAATAATAGAAGACCTGGATCGGCTAGTAAAGCTATCGACACTGCATTCCTTAAAAATCAATGCAATGAAATCAAATGTCATGATTTTTGGTAAAAACAAACAATACATCGAATCTGTTATGAAAATAAAAGTTCAAGGTGAAGAATTGTTCTTTGTTGAAAATGTAAAAAATTTGGGTTTTTATCTGGTTCAAAAAGCATATTAGTTATTGTATTCAAAAAGCATATTGTTCCCTGAAAATGATCTATCCTCATAGACACTTGCTATCAACTACAACCAGAAGGATGTTGAGTGATAAGCTGGTTCTAAGTTATTTCAACTTTTGCGATGTATTATATGGACCTTGTCTGGACAAAAGTGACATAAATCGTGTGGAGAAAGTACAGAAATCCTGTCTCAGATTCATCTATGGCATCCGCAAGTATGATCCAGTATCGCACATGTTGAAACCCTCGAAGTGGTTGAAAATGCAAGATCGGCGGAAACTTCACTTCCTAGTTCTGTCACACTCTATAATTCATAAACAGAGTCCTCCATATCTGTATGATAAAATAACATATAGAACTGATGTTCATAATCTGAATTTACGGCATAGGGGTCGCATCACTCTTCCACCTTAAAGAACCACCTTATTTCTAAGATGCTTCTCTTACAATATTCACAAAATGTTTAATGAATTACAACCTCCACTCAAGCAAATGAAGTCATTGACATTCAAAAAGAAAGCCAGAGAAAGTCTTTTGGCTACATATATATAACTCTTCTCACGAGCATCAAAGCAGTGCTTTTTTTTATCTTTTAATCCGTTATCAACTTGACGAACAGTTCAGATTATAATTGTTTTTCTTACTCTGGGGCTGAACTAGAACTTCTCCAAATTGTTTTCAGCTCCATTTTGCACCACTGTATTTAAAGTTGCAGTGAAAATGTTTTTTTTTGTTTAATGCAAATAAATATTATTATTATTATTATTATTATTATTAATGCATCGCCGCGCACTGAATCGGTTCGGTCGGCTCAGATCGGCCAGATCGTCTCGGCATCGGCAGAGAATTCTTGAAGGGGCAAAAACTGCCGAAAGTGCCGATTGCTCTCACTGCTTGTACGGTTTTTGGGACAAATAGGTGTATGAACTATGAACGAAGATGCAAATTAAAAGTTATCTCGGGCGACCTGTTGTTTGAAAATCAGCGGGAATTTACCAGGTTGTATTATCCCCGAAAAAGGTACTACCACGACAACATTCATATAGGTGCCATACGGTTCCATAGGTCGTTTCTCTTTGGAGATTGATTTCGCGATTGATGTTACGGATCAGAACCTTGGTTTCAGTTTTTTTATCTCTTCGCATGTTAAGGCAATCCTAATATCTTCCTCGGATTCAGTTGAACTAATTTTCTAGTTCATGAAAATTAGTTTGTACTAAATGGCTGCTAAAGACATGCTCAATGTGCCGATACTGCCGATTCAGTGCGCGGTATAAGTTGATGTGCCGACCGTGCCGAGCCGATCCGACCGATCCGAGTCGATTCAGTGCGCGTGGTTCTTTAGATGTATTAGGACGGACATAGGATACTTTTTTCTGCAACCGACACAAAAGTCGTCAATTTTAATACCAAAATTGGGGCCGGGATTGGCGCAGTGGAAGAGCGTCCGTCTCACGACCGCAAGGTCGTGGGTTCGATTTCCAGCACGGATAAGGAACTTTTTTCAATATTTTATTTACGAATCAAATATTGTAAAGTTTCGGAGCATCGGCTGGGGATAGTCCTGCACGATTCGCTGTTGCGTTCCAATTAACAGTGCTGCTCCTAAAGTGGCGCATGGAGTTAGTAACAAAGCCTACACAGAACACGCAGAAAGATATGATGATGTGGTTGTGAGCATCAGAGAAGAAGTAGGACGGTGTATGTAGGTGGGTGTGGAAAACTACCAGCTGAGCGTGAGAGCGGGCCAGCTGCTTAAGTAGACCTCGGTCTCGGGGGTTAACGAGGATAGCTAGCAGGCCTGCCACTGCGCATATGGTAGTGAGTACATTACTAGCCTACAAAACACAGCTGAAAAACTCTGAAAAGAGAGCTGATGGGCGGTGCCTGAAAAGGATGTTAACCAGCTCTCTTGAGCGAACCACATCAGTCATTGAAAACACTTGGGGTTTGCAAAAAGGTCCCATTGGGGACTAGTTGCTGACGTGGAAACGTCCCCCACCAGTACCAGTACCAGTAATACCAAAATTAGATCTTGAATTGACGTTTCTATTACTGACACAAACATAGGTATGTTTCTAGGCAACACTTTTAGTTTCTAGGAGATAAAGTTGAACTTTAGCTCCTAGGAACTTGAAAAGGATGTAGTAGGTCATCAAGAATTGACAACATTGTAATGTATAAAACATAATCACTGAACAGCCGTTAACATATCTAAAGGAGCATTAGTATGAATCAATTTAGTTATCCGAATATCATTGATACCATGGGAACCGTTTAAAAGTTACATGAAATATTTTTTTTCTGTGACGGGAAAAAAGTTTGGCATTTCATCTCTGTTGGCAGGTTATAAAATGTCACTTTTCATAAATTACTTTTTTCCCGTGGGAAAAAAGTGAGTACTTTTTCCCGGATATACACTCAGTTCCAAAAAAAGTGACGCACTTGATATTTGACCTATCTTTTTAAAAAAAAAAAAAAAAATTGGAGGGCCGATTTCCATTTTTTTTATTATTTGTTGGTAGGTAATGCATTTGTCTTTAAAAAAAAATAAAGAGGTGAAAATTGTTTCAAAGCCTCCTTGATGGTGGTGGAATAACTCGAACCATGATTTATTCTTAATTTTTGACTCACCCTGTGTGTTAATTGAGTAATGGCATAAAAAATGCTAACACCCTATACGAAAGAGGCTTTTTTGCGAGCATTTTGTTTTTTATTCATTGATTTATCTCTAAAATTTTCCGACACAGCTTTTTTTGCTGAATCCTTGCAGATTACCAACTTTCTGAATTTATCGAGAAACAATTTTCTAATGAAATGAACTGACCAATAATTTTAAAAACATTTTTATTAAACACAAAATTATAAATTGGGATGACTGCTTGATACCGTGTATTGCCTCCTCGAGCATCTCTAAGAACTTCTAATCTACGAGGCATACTGGAAATTAAGTTGCTTATCGTTTCCATTGGTATACGATCCCATTCTTCTACTAATGCATCTGCTATTTCTGCGAGACTTTCCGGAGACCTCTCGCGAGAACGCACCCTTCTCCCTAATTCATCCCACAAATGTTCTATAGGATTCATATCGGGGCTTCTCGCAGGCCATTGTAATGTGGTAATACCAGTAGCTTCTAAGAAGTTTCGCACTCTTGCTGCGGTGTGTGGTCGGACATTATCCTGCATCAATATAAAATTATTGCCCACTAACTCTGCATAAGGTAATACATACTGCTCTAAACTGTCAATGTAAATTTGGGCATTCATCGACTGCCTCACCGGAAAAACATGAAGGGGTGTCTTTCCATTCATTGGAATCTTTCCCCACACCATACCGGGCGCACCATTGAAACTTTCGCATTCTGTTATTAAATTTTGATTAAACCGTTCACCAGTTCTTCTCCACACTCTTTTTCTTCCATCCACCATGTTAAGGCAAAACCTTGACTCATCCGTAAATAAGACATTCGACCATTCAGGAATATTCCACTGTCCATAATTTTCAACAAATTTTCTTGTAGCAGCACGATGTTCGGGCAATAATTTGGTAAGAAAACAAATTCAACAGTGAACTATTGAGGTCTACTTGATCGTTAAGTAAAATGTCAGAATTTTTGAGTTTGTTGATTTCTAATGATTCAAAACTCGATTCAAAATAATGTTATGCCTTTATTTTCTACGTGTAGAATTTTGAAATTATCATCAAAACCTGACCGATATATACCTTATGGTATACACACAGTATATAACATAAGCGGACGGCGGTTGGTGATTACGAGTATGATGAATCACGGAATGCAGAACGGTTGAAGATAGGAGATAAGTAATTAGTCAGTAATCAGTATATTACAGTCAGCCAAGTGACAAGGTTGTAAGGTGCTGGGGTCATTAAAGGTAGGGTCCCTTGATGGAAATTGACATTAAAGTCATCTTAACAGGGTACGGACAGATCATAGCTGCATTCTTTTTTAATGATCTAGAGACTTTAGTTTTGTCTACTGGCATCCCTGACATTGCTGTCACGTCACATCCATGGGCGCTACAGAAAATCATTCAAAATTTCTATAATAGGTATGTACAGGGTATTTACTTATTGAGGAAGATCATATGGTGAACGAGTTTTGTAATTATGATCCGATTCTATTCAAAATTGGAAGGTATCTGGGGTTTTCCGGGGTTGGAGATAATGATTGTTTCGACAAACTAGGAAAATTCAAGATGATGGAACCAATATATAGCGAGAGACATTTTTAATTATGATCTGATTCTATTAAGGATTGATATATGAGGGTTTCCGGGGTCGAAGTTCATGAGTTTTAGTCAAAATTTGGAAATTCAAGATGACGGTTTCAATATGGCGAAAGGCATTAGTTCATATAATTATAACTTTACCACAAATAGAAAATATGTAGGATGCAAGAGTGGAAATAACGTTCCTGTGAGTTATACTTCGTATACCGAGGCGTATATACCAACTTCTTTGTTACTTTCATCAATAAATTATTCGAAAATGACTTTTTATTCAAGGGAGACGGAAAAATCATATGTATAACATGGGGGTAAAGTATATTCTATTCTTTATTTTCCTGTACATTTTACGTATTACTTCTTATCAGCCTACTTTCCGTCCCAGACGAAGTTTTATACATAGTGTGATATTAGTCACTCCATAAATTCTTCGAATTGGAATTCCGAAAATATATTAAGCACACATGACATGGGTACAGTAGTTCAGACACAGTATAGAGCTCTATACTGTGGTTCAGATACCCACATTGAGGTTTCCACCATTTCTCAATCATAAGGCTCAGCTCATTCAGCTCATAGGTTCTGCTCAGCTTGAACTCAGAATTCATTTAGTCAATTCAGTCAACCCTGGTATACAATCTTTCTTGGTGAAATATATTAAGCTTTCAGTACAATTCATATGTTCCCTACCTCGCAAAGTTTATGCTGGATTAGTAAACTCTATAACTAGAGGATTGTTCATCTATATCTTGGTATAGTTGTAACAGGAACTCCATATGGAAATCACGTATGATACGCCAGTGACCTCAATATAACCTAAAAAACAACGAATGTCAAAAATCTAGTGTTTATCCCCAGAATTGAATAAGGATGGAACTATATAACTGTTTCACAAACACTTTAGAGTGAGAGGAGACGAGGATCTGTCCGTACCCTGTTAAGATGACTTTAACGTCAATTTCCATCAAGGAACCCTAATTAAAGGTGGTGTTGTATTGTTTATGTGTGCCTCACTACTCGCCCCTTACATTTTTTGAATTGACTCGGCCATTACGTGATGGAAATCCATGACAAATGTAAAAACTTCCCAAACGATAAGATTCCCACAACACAGTAGCTTCGTCAGGTGATATACTGGTACAATGAACTAAACTAACGTTGGTTTGCTTACAAACAACAAATTCAACATACGCCAACCATATATTAGAATAAAACCATAGTTTTGATGATAATTTCGTAATTCTGCACGTAGAAAATAAAGGACTGAAACTCAATCATTTTGAATCATTAGAAATCAACAAACTCAGAAATTTTGACATTTTACTTAATGATCAATTAGACCTCAATAGTTCACCACTGTCACTGTTGAATTTGTTTTCTTAGTAAGTAATGATATGTATTTGATACGAGATTTGATATCAACTCTTTCAAGTTAATCCGGTATACCGTAATTTGATGTAGATATTGTGCCTAATTTCCGAAAATGCAGGTTTATCGTACCTGTCCACAGGTAACAAATCCTTCAGGTTGGGAAAGTAAAATTTATAAAAGTTGAGCAAGCCAACGTTAGTTTAGTTCATTGTACCAGTATATCACCTGACGAAGCTACTGTGTTAGCGAAACATGTCGTGTGTATGAGAATGTTGTGGAAATCTTATCGTTTGTGAAGTTTTTACATTCGCCCCTTACACTTAGAACAAGATCCACAGTTGAGTTTGTGTATCCCTGATTTTTCGAATTTAGAAGTTTTGTCTTTATCATATTTGATAAACCTTCCCCACGGGTTATCACTTGATGGAGCTACTGTGTTAGCAAAACATGTGTGTATGAGAATGTTGTGGAAATCTTGTCGTTTGTAAAGTTTTTACAATTTTATTATGCATACGCAAGACACATCAAGTCATCTCCACAAATTTATTATAAGAATTATCAGTGTCTGAACATGTTTCGGACTATCAATAGTCTATCATCAGCAGAAGCATTTTAAGATAATTTCTACAAAGAAAAGTTATTTACAGTTAGTGAGTACATAGCCTGAGGTATAATTTTTTATAGTGAGTACATAGCCTGAGGTTCAATTGAATAACTTCTCTTTGTAGAAATTGACTTAACATGCTTCTGCTGATGATGGACTATTGATAGTCCGAATCATGTTAAGACACTGATAATTTTGATAATAAAGTGGAGATTACTTAGTGTGTCTTGCGTATGAATTTAATTTATTCACTCCACTTTGAGATACCATGGACTTCAACCATAGATAATTCTATTATAATTCTTTCGAGGGAAATTTCCTCATTCTATTGATCTCGACCGTTACCACCGATAAAACAAGGCCTGCATGCTCCGTGGGCGACGTCACTTAGTCAGGCCTAACCAGCGGCTTGTAACGACAAGCGCTTATAGCGCTATAAGGCGACCGCGTATTTCGATTTTAGTTTTAGATCATTATTGAGCCGATTTTGCTTTTTTTTTCGAAGGGCTTCCGGTTGAAAGAGGATGCCAGCCGTCAACTGAGCCCTTCTTCGCATCCCATTCGATTTTATTATGGAAAAACGAAGTTTCTAAGCAAAAACCAGAATAAAACACAAATACCCACCTACAGCAACCCATTCGAATTAAATATATTGGCAAAAAGTGTAGTGATTCAATCTCATTAGAGGTAAACTTCACACCTACTTATACAGGGCCCGCAGAACATAAATTTATCATGAGAATTGGGGAAAATGTATTTTAGTTTGATAGACATGCCGTTTGTTATACCTAATTACCTATATTTATCTTGGAGAATTCCTATTACCTAAAAAATTAGCCAGTGAGTGTTTTCAATTTCCTGTTGTTGGATTTTTTACCCAATTGGTCGTTAGACTTGAAACAGTAATTTTTAAGTAGAGTGTTTGTAGTACATGTTAATATAATAGTTGCAATTTGATCATTGGAATGAATTCTGCATTCATTGCCACGAGGCAAATGACCGTTTTCAGAAAGATATTTGAGAATGTATTGAGTCAGAAACCAAAGAGTCCAATGCATTCGAAATATGTTTCAAAACCCTCTTTTTCTGATTATCAAGACATTTTCCCGAATTATGTATCTCGTTTTTATCTATTTCAATTAGTAATTCCTTGATTTGGTTGATATTATTAGAGATAAAAGGTGTTTTCAGATTGGCTTTTAGAGATGTTTGTATCGCTAGGTCACACAAAAATGATTCCACATTCAAAACAAAATCAATCACAACCGAATATGTAATTACGGGCCCTGGAGAATAAGACAATTTGAATAATGTGTTTTTTTGCAAATCGATAATTTTGAACCAATTTTCGGGCAACTGAAAAGACTCTAATACAACTAGAAATTCTTGAAATTCTGTGTAGCAAAATGATTTTTGGTAATTTCCGAATTCAGTTTTACTTTTGGTAAGTGCTTGTGCCAAATTTTTAGTCTCTAGTATCTCAAGTTTTTCATCACGACTTGTGCGTAATTTTACATCTTTCGATAAATAAGATGGACAGTTGGGAAATTGAGTGGGAATAACATCTCGTTTGAGCCTAGGAATTTTCAAATCTATTGTTACAGTTTTGCCAGTTTTTGAATCGGTTGCAGTAGATGAAGTAATAATATCATCTTTAGTAAAATGTAATTCACATACTTTACTGTACTTAGATGGAGTCGTAAAATCCTTGCGGTGAATTGCATATACCCACTTTTTCGATAGTTTCTTGTCCAACGGGAAACTAAAAGCATGAACTTTTGGACCACCCACATAATTCCTCCGACAAAAGGGAACACAACACTTGTAAGGCATTGTTATTTCGCCTATCACAACACGAAATATTTCACAAAACAGTAATTTCTCCGCCAATTATTTTGATGAATAAACAATAAGAGAATTCGAACACACGCGATTCACCTACGCCACCGTTCTTAAACAAAAACAAACTGACGATCGATCGACGCGAATGCCTCGGAAGATGGCCTGAGTATGCGACGTCACGAGCTGTTTACGTCAGAGTCTGCTGGCCTTGTTTTATCGGTGGTAACGTCTCGACTCGTATTTCCAGTCGAAATGGTCCAGATGCTGCTAATGTACCAAGCCGAGACGAAGTTGAAGAACTTTTTCGGCACCAGTCCGCACGATGCCATGTACGAAATCGAGGACATGCCCGATCAAATCAAATGCCTTATTTGGGGCAAGAGCAACAAGAGGAAAGCCGCCGATGAGCCGAAGACGGCGAAGGTAATGAAGAAAGAGGAGCCGATGGTGAGGAAAGTCGGGCTGAAAACCTATCCGAAATATCAGAAAATCGAGTTTCCGGACGTGAGCCGCAGGTTGAGTGTGGTAAAGTAGATATCGATTTCTTCTTGGGTGTTTCAGATATTATTTATCGGTTGGAAAGGGGGACCTTTTCGTTTGAAGCTCCTTCAGTCCTCTACGATGTCGAAATTCAGAATATTAACAAAAATTGAGGTTATTGTAAGAGTGTGCCTGTTGAAATTGAACCTTCCCTCAACTCTTTTGTATTTACAGACTTGGAAAAATGTTGAATGCAAAAGTTGTTTTGAACGAGCCTAATTTTAATTTTGTGAAGTTTTTTTATGTACAGGGTTATTCGTTTTTCCAGAAAGGACATCAACTGATTTTTTTTTCAATAGAACACCCTATATATTTTCTGACATGTCGATAGAGCTTTCTTTCATATTTCAAAAGTATAAAGAAGTTACATATTTGGATGAAAAAATAGTTGAGCTATTAATGATCAAAGTTTATCAAAATATCACATCCTTCATTCAAACTGTTACATATTTTTTAAAATTGAAACTGAACGTTTTCAATTCCGTAATGAACAATATCATCGCATTTCCATGGATTTTAAACAATATACAGGGTGATTCAGATTTAAATCCGCAAACCAAAATAGGTGATAGATCTCATCATTGTTATCAAAAAAGTTTATATAAACATGAGTCCGATCTCGATCAGAAGCCAAGCTACAGGGGGTCAAAGTTTAATTATTTTTTTCTCCTAATCAATATATCTCGCTCACTTTCGAAGATATCGAGTAGAAATATCGTGTGGTTAATACTTCCTAGAAGATCATCATTTTGAACATCTTATAGATTTTCAAAATGTACAGGGTGATACGTTTTTGGGGGGTAGAGGCTTTCCTATTCCCCACTAACTTTTTCGAAGTATGCGTCTGACATCTTGCAGTTTTTGCAGAAATTCAATATATCATTCAATTTCGTGGCTTTTTTGCCTCTCAATTTTTTTTTCGAGGAACCAACCGTTTTCAGAATAAATAAGCGTATCCATTTTGAAAACATGTTAATTTTGCCTATATTGTTTTGCTTAAATTTTATTATTGGATGAAATTCGTAGGGCAGAACGTAAAGGTTTTGTTAGTTCTTAAAGTTGGTTGAATTTTCTCCAAAAATGAAATTTATGCGAAATGTAGACAAATTTAACATGTTTTGAATGGATATTGGATATGCTCATTTATTACGAAAACAGTTTGTTTCTGGAAAAAAATTGTGGACCAATAAAAGTCTCTAAATTGAACAATCCACATAATCCGATAACTAGATGATGTCAGAGGTGTACTACTAAAAATTTTGGGTGGGATAAAGCACCCTCTACCCCCAAAAATGTATGACCCTGTAGATCTTGAAAATCTTCAAAATGCTCTGAATGATGATCATCTACGAAGTAACAACCTCACTAAATTTCAAATTGATATCCTCAATAGTGAGCAAGATATTTCAATTAATAGAAACAAAGACTTTCCTCATTAAAATGATGAGATCTATCATAAATTTCAGTTTGTGCCCTAAAACTTGAATCACCCTGTTTAATCATTATTTCAAGCCCCTCTATGTTCAACTGACTATTCGCGATGGAAAATAAGCGTACGCCAGCTATCGGAGTTCTTGAAAGCTGTCAAAGTGGCATGTTTACTTCGTTTTCATTGGTTCACATTTGTTTGTTGTTTGTGCTAATTGGTCACAGCATCAGAATAAACCGCTCAGAAGTGTTCCAGTTGTTGCCGCCAGATAGGGCCACGTGTTATTTTCTATCGCGAATAGGTGATATGAAGTGAGGGTTTCTTGAAGCGGTATTTTGGTGAACTTTGATCATCAACAGCTTTTCTTCATCCAATTTATATGTAAATTATTTACATTGTTGGAATTAGAAAATAAGGCTCTAACGACATGAAAAATATATAGTGTTCCATCACAAATATCAGAGTTGATATTCTTTCCTGAAAAACGAATGACCCGTACATAAAAAAAAACATTACATAATAAAAACTTTTGTATCCAATATTTTTCCATATCTCAAAAAACAATTGAGTTGAGGGGAGGCACGATTTTAATAGGCGCATCCTTTACAGGATGGCTGGAATTAGAGCTCCATCATTGGGATCTCGTAAATCTCAAGAGATACAGGGTCGGTTGAATTATGGCAAAGTTGCGCAATTTTATGCGCAACAAAATGCAGTTTTGAAACTTGGAAAATTACGAATATCTTCGGGATACAAAAAAAAAACGAAATTTCTTAATGCCCTCCTTCTCATTTTTTTTCAAGATGTTTGAAGAAGTTAATGGAAATAAATGACACCTTATCATGGCCACTGTGTCTTCCCTACAAGTTGACGTTTTCAAATATGAAATCCGATGTTTTTTCATCCAGAACAAAATCAAATTATTATTTTTATATACTGACCTGTATAGTCCAGAAGATATGAGCTATCTCTAATGTTTATTTTTGGATGTTTCATTTACAAAAATTGACTGTTTCCTATTGAAAATTTTTGTAAGTAAAGAAAACATTCGAAAAAGAAAATGTATTATTAGTTGATGATGGTTTCTGAAAAACTAAACGTCGGATTTCGAATTTGAAAATGCTAACTTGAATGGAAGAAAAAGTGTCCATAATGAAAAATCATTCATTTCTATCAATTTCGTCAAATAACGAAAAAAAAAAATCAGGAAATTCCGGTTATTTTCGGATATCTCCGAAAGTTTTCCGAATTTTTCAAGTTTCGATACGGCATTTTGTTAGACATGAAATTGCGTAACTTTGCCAAAATTCAACCGACCCTGTATCTCTAATGTTTACGAGATCCCAATGATGAGGCTTTAATTCCAGTCACCCTGTACTAGACTCTGTAACCAGCAAATTTGTCGTTGTCGGCATCCAATCATTTTGAAATAGTTGTCGAAAGGAATTTATATGCAAGGTTTTATCCAGGACAAATGTTTCGAATACAGTTGTTTCAAGCATAGTTGATAGTTCTGTGTTTATTTCATATGAACTAATACAATTTATAATACAAAATGAAACGACAAATAGAACAGACAAGAGTACCAAACAATATAGAGTTTAAGAAGTACCATGATGATGGCCGTGCCGAAACCGGTTACATGTGACTAATTATATTTTATACAGATGAGTGCACAAAAAATGGCCAGGACTGTTACTTTTGAATTATTTCAGATAGGGTTTTGAAAATTGGTGGGCAGCTAGTATACCAAATTGCTCATTGATTGACGAAACAATTTCTGTTCTATCACTTCCGGTTTTACTGGAAACGACCCCAACTTTTGATTTTTGAATGGGACACCCTGTATTGTATTCCATAATCGGTTAGGGATTGTCATATCGAATTCATCGATATCGGGTTTGATAGGGTTATTCCAAACGATTACGCAGATATCCGCGTTCCAAGTTGCCATATGCTCAATGAGTGTGACAGTGAAAGAAGTTTTGATATTGCAGTCACACCCATTGAGCATATGGAAATTACGAACGCAAATATCCTTGTAATCGTTTGAAATAACACTATCAAACCCCGTATCGTTCAATTTGTCATGATAATCCCTAATCTATTATGGAATACAATACACGGTTTTCCATTTAAAAAATAAAAAGTTGGTCGTTTCCGGTGAAACTGGAAGTGATGGAAGAAAAATCGTTTCACCAGTCAGTGCATTTCCGAATCACCTTGTACACTAATATAATGCTTGCAGGAAAATTATGATAAATTCATGAACATTTCGAAATCAACTCGCACTATGAGCTTGATAATTTGGTTACAGGTGAAAATTGAAAATGATAGTTCAACGACGTATTGAGTTTTTGATTGCCGACCGGCCTGTCCGACCGGTTGTTGATGTCACGTGACTGATTAAAATGACAAATGCGATTGGTTTCGACCGTTCGCTTGTATACAAAAACGACAAAAACCTTAAAAACCGTAAGCTTCACTGCTCAATCGATATAATATACCGAAAATGCCACAAATATCCTGATATCCTAAAAATCAGATATAGGAATCATCTCTTCCATCAGCCATTGCATTTCTCGAGATTTATTTTGTGGATGGAATAATAATTTTGAACTGCCTACCTGAAATAGTTCGCTCAAATGAATCATACAATGATATAACGCTATTTTTGTTTAATTATAAGCAATTAGAGTCACTCATTTTGAAATGAGTAGATACCCTTGCCACTTTTCGAGACATTTTTGAGGTTATATTTTATATCCTTGAATCACATCGACCATTACACAGCTTGGGCGATCTGCTCTTGGATTGGACGGTCCTGTTCTTCAATAAGAAACGTTACCATTTGGAAATCGGTCAATGCGGTCATCAATTAAAAACCCTGCGGTCGAAGTGTGGTCCAAGTGGTCGCAACCGTTCGGCAATCAAAAACTCAACAGGTTACAAAAAAGTCTTCCTGATGATGGCTCGATTTGTTTTTGTTGATATTCTGAATATAATAGAGTTCACACAAGCTACTTATGTTATTAAATTGCGTGTGACATTTCACGTATATTAGAACATCACAGCCTTTCGGTGGCTCTGATAGTTTAACAATTACTCAAAGCAGTTTTAGGGAATCTTGAAGTCGGGTTTTCAGCAGTGTTATTTTTTAATAGAAACACTATTTGTGTCAAGCTGAAGATATACTGGGGAATTATGTTTGAAAGATTTCAGGAAATTAAACTGGCAAGATGAGAATTTATTTGTTGCTGGCAATATTATGGCTTCATGAAAATATTCTTATTGCCCTAATGAGTTTTTGATGTTGCTTCAAAAAGCTGAATTTCAAATAATACAAATTTGAATATGGGAAAATGAAGTATTGTCATGTAAACAACAAAAAAAGCCTATACAGTGTGGTCATTTAAGTGTGGGAATCTTATTAATGAATTGCACAATCAAAATACAGATAGTACCAAAAGTTGGTGCATGTTCAGTGATCATTTTAGGTGCACTTAAAATGGTTGCAAGTCAAACAGCATAAAGGGCAGGTCAAAAAATATGAAAATTGTTCAAG